AGAGTAGCAACGAAAATAATTTTATGGTTGGGGGTCACCACAACATGAGGAACTGTATTAAGGGGTCGCGGCATTAGGAAGGTTGAGAACCGCTGGCTTAGACCAATGAGGTCTCTACCTGGGGACTCCATGTCTCAGGCCTCTGTTTCCCTTTTTGTAGAAAATGGAATTACTCCTTGCGCTTCCTCTCTCACAGGGTTCCTGTGGCGACCCTGAAGGAGGACGTGGGGGAGATCTGTCCGTTACATCAAGCCTGGGACCTCAGAAATGGCGAGGGAGACTTGGGGGCGGGAGTCACGTGACAAACAGCCAGGTCGGCTCAGGCATCCGAGCTTTAGCCCTAGGACCTCTGTCTCTATGGTGGATGGCCTTCTAATTCCGGGGCTTCTAAGTTGCTCTTCCGGAGTAACTGGCACCGCTTCCGGGGTGGGGCGCGGCGAGCTGGGCTTGGCGTTCTTCAGCTCGCTTCTGGCCTGTGTGTCCGTGCTCACTGCTGTAATGAGCTTCCTCAAAAGTTTCCCGCCACCGGGGTCAGCTGAGGGGCTCCGGCAGCAGCTGCCCGACACCGAGGCTGTGCTGAACGGGAAGGGCCTGGGCACCGGCACCCTGTACATCGCTGAGAGGTAGGGTCCCTGTGTCCCGGGTGCTCCTGCGCGCCGCCTGCTGCGGAGGCGCCGGGCCAAACCGCGACCTCGGGGCTTGCTGGGAGCGGGAGCGCGTGCTTCGGGGATACCCGTGCTGGGAGGTAGGCCCCACTGTTCTCGTGCCCTTTCCTCCGGAGCCTTCCTGACTCTCAGCTGCAGACGGTATTGTCTCATTGATTATGCATTTTACCCACCTGTTTACAGGAGGTCTCCTGCATGCATTGTTCTTCACTCAAGGTCTCGTCCTAAGGTTTTGAGTTTCTAGACCCAGAGTTAGTGTTATCGATGTGCCTGCTTGTCTTTTCCGATGAATCGGCGCGGGAGATACTGCCCTGGGTTGGAGGCTTAGAGCAGGTTGTGGAGGATTTTGAAAGTTAGGTTAAGGATTATAGCTTGTCTTCTGTAGATGTGGGTAGGGAGAAGAGCACCCTCCACCCCCTCTCCGCTCCCATTTCTGACATCCGTTTCCATTCCTAGAAGGAATTGCCTTTTGTTTGGCTACCTGGAGCACTTTGTACTTTCACAGATACACATGTCTTAAATGTTACGGTTGTAGTATTGAGGTCCCTGTTACCCTTGTTATACAGTTTCATTCCTCACCAAGCCAGCAATGACACGTTGAATCCTTATTGCCCTTCACATCTCTCTGCATCACTTTGGGCTGCAGCCAGAGAAAACTCTTAGCGTTAAAGAGCTCATGCGATTACATTGGACCCACACAGATAATCCAGGATAATCTCCCTATTTGTCAATTGATTGGTAACCTTATAATTTCTACATTCACAAAGTTTTTTTTCCCCCATGTAATATACAATATTCACAGTCTTGACACCACGGGATGAAGGTTATGGGGGCCAAAATTCTGCCTACCACAGAGGACACACACACACACACACACACACACACACACACACACACTCAGAACCCTTTGTTTAGAGGGAAATCTGGACATTGAGCAAAGGTTAGGCTTTTGACCAGTCACAGATAGGAAATATGGATTGGAAGAAAAGCAAGTTTGGGGTGAGGTGCAGATAATGAGTTTGGTTGGACATGTGTGTGTTTATCTTGTGAGAGTGGTATTAAAGATAGAGATTTGGAAATCATTAATATTATAAGGGTTAGCATGTACTCATGGGAATAGATTAGATACCCCAGAAGAGATGAGGGGAAAGGATAGATAGAATCTTGGGTACACATCTACAGTAAGAGGTAGGTCATGGAAGAAGAGACTTGAGAAGAGGGACGAACAGCCAAATAAAATAAAATCTTGGAAAGCATCTGTTGGGTATTGACAAGGAGATCTTTGGTGACCTTGAGGGAGCAGTTTCTTTTAAGTGGTGAGAAGTGGAGTACAGATATATTCCTAGCCCCTACGCAATCCCTTCTTCGTAGCTTCTATGTGTATTGGCTCTTCGTTCTGTAATATAACCCGTTTTGGGGAACGTCCTATACTTTTTTTTTCATTTTGAAAATTTTCAAACCTAAAGACAAGTTGCAGGTGTTGTTCGTTAATACCCATAGACCCTTCACAAAGATTTATCAGTTGCTAGCTTTTGCCATATTTCTCTTTCTCTCTTTTCTGAGCTATTTGAGAGTTGCAGACATGTTGTTACTTAACCTGTAAATACTTTAGCATATATCTCCTAAGAACAGGGACATTCTCCTGTATTACCACAATACAGTTATCACACTCAGGAAGTACAAACTCCTAAGTTCTTATCTGTTTAAAAATTTTTTATTTCAACTTTTTACTAACAAATCTCTTACCTTTCTTTAAGAAAATACTTTTGTTAAATATACATACAAAAAAAAAGAGTGTAAGTTATACAATCTGTGGTTTAAAGGATTATTATTAAACTAGCACCTGTATGTGTGCCATAAGGTTAAAACCAGGATTTTTCTAGTTCCTTGGACACATCTGTTCATCCCTCTTAACTCAATAGCCTTACTTCTTTGGTCTCTTGGTCTCTTTTCCCATTTTGTTCTTTCTTACCTAGCATTTCCAAGTCTTTTTTTTTAAGATTTTATTGGTGGGGTTGGGGGAGGGGAACAGCGCTGGGGAATCAGGGGAAGGGGAACAGATAAGTTGCTGACCTTTTGTTCTTCAGTCTAGTTGTGGAGGACGTTGCTTCACTGGTCCATGCTGGTATTATCATTGCGCTCTTCCCGGGTGAGGCCTCTGGACAGCTGCTCATGGTGGCTCTTGGCAGCTCACGTTGGCTGCTGGCCGCTCACAATAGCTTACGGCAGCCCACTGCAGCAGGGGCTGTAGTCTACGACGTCGCCGGTGACTCACGGCAGCCCAGCTCCAGGTCGAGCTGTTGTTCACCATGTTAGCTGTGGAGGGCGCAGCATCAGTGGCCCTCATGTGGGATCCGAACCGGGGCCCTGCTGCTCAGAGCTGGCGTCCAAACCAGCTCTTAACCAATGCGCCACTCTGCCAGCCCTAGTATTTCCAAGTCTTGATAGAATCAAGCTCTCAAACTGGAAAGGCTTCCTAGAGGATGTGACAAATGAGGATTTACCGTTAGCCAGGTGAATGCTGTGGGGCAAAGAGGAAATGAAATGTTCTAATTAGAAGAAACATGATGCTGAGAGGCAAGAGTGAGAAACAATGGTGTGCCAGGATATATATATATATATATGTGTGTGTGTGTGTATTTATATGTATAGATATATACCGGGGATGCCAAAAAAATGTATACAAGTGGACACTTTGGTCAACGCTACTCAAGCAGTAGTAGTACATCGTAATCAGAAGTGTCTGGATGCTGATGGTAACCACTTTGAGCACCTCTTGTAATTGCAGAAGTCAGATGTGACTTGTATTCAACTTTTGTTATCAGTATATATTGAAGATTACAATTTTAATAGTTTTCTTAAAATGTGTATACATTTTTTTGGCACACTCATGTGTAAAAAATATATGTATACAGTACACACAGTCTAGCAGTTCTTCATCTGAGGAAGTGAGGGAGAACGATGGGAAAAAACAATAAAGCTGAGAAGGAAAGAGCCATGTTCATGAGCTTGGCTTATCTTAGGCTTTGAGGAAACTCTTTTAGGATTTTAGGCAAAGAGAGACAAGGTCTCATTTGGTTTTAGGTAGATACTTTCTCAGATGTATATTGAGAGATTTAGAATTCTCAGGCTTAGTTTTCATAGGAAGTTGACTTTTTATCCAAATAAGGAAAGGAACAGAGGTTTGAATTATTCAAAATCGATCATTTGAAACAGGTAAAGTAGGTAATTAGCTCTTTCCAATCAGCGCCGAGCCATGGGCATCCCTCGGGACAACTGGCTTAAGCGCCACAAGACTGGGGGCAAGAGGAAGCCCTCCCACAAGAAGCGGGAATATGAGCTGGGACGCCCTGCTGCCAACACTAAGATTGGCCCCCGCCAGTCGTATGCAGGGAGATAACAGGAAGTACTGTGCCTTGAGGTTGGACATGGGGAACTTCTGGGGCTCCAAGAGTTGTACACGCAAAACAAGGATTATTGATGTTTCTACAATACATCCAACAATGAACTGGTCCACACCAAGGCCCTAGTAAAGAACTGCTTGGTGCTTATTGATAGCACACCGAATGGACAGTGGTACGAGTCCCACTGTGCGCTGCCCCTGGGCCGCAAGAATGGGGCCAAGCTGACTCCTGAGGAGGAAAAGATTTTAAACAAAAAATGATCAAAGGAAATTGAGAAGAAATATGATGAAAGGAAAAAGAATGCCCAGGTCAGCAGTCTTCTAGAGGAGCAGTTCCAGCGGGGCAAGCTTCTTGCATGCATCACTTCAGGACCAGGCCAGTGTGGCTGAACAGATGGCTCTGTGCTAGAGGGCAAGGAGCTGGAGTTCTGATGAGGAAGATCAAGGCCCCGAAAGGCAAATGAATCATCCTTCTTCCTAGCTTAGTCCACGTAATAAAGCTGTTTTGTGTTTAAAAAAAAAAAAAGTAATTAAATTAAAAATAGGTAACTTAAACTTATAAGTAACACTTTTTATATCTTATTCCAAAATTAATTTAAAACCAAATAATTAAACCAGCCCAAATTCAAGGCCTTCCTTACCTGCCTGTCCTGTTTTTCATCCCATGCCAGGAATAAAGGACACTGGCCATACTGCACAGAACCATTGGTAATTAGCAAAACATTCTTCTGCGTGTTTACTGGCTTTCTAATTACTCTTTTGCCCTTTTGTGACTCATGGTTTCTTTGGGATTGCATATATAGTTAATTTGATTTTTTTGTTGTTTGTTTTGGAGGGCTTTTCTTCTAGAATACATGAAAAGCGAATAAATAAAAACCAGAACTTAATGATCAGAGTAAATGTTGCTTTCAGTGGCACTTACTTGCATTCTATAGAGTATATAATTCCTGTTCATTTACGAGATTATGAGCATGCCATAGGAAATGTGCTGAAGCAGCATTTGTGCCCTGCTACCAGTGAGGAACTACAAGCAAGTATGTGCTTTTTAAAGTAAAGGCCATAATTTGGTAGGCACTGAGTCAGTGTTTATATTTCAGTCTCCCCATCTCCTAATTGAGTCATTAAAGAAAGTTTTCTGGGTCTGGATATTAGAAATTTTGGACACCTAAATTTGGAATACTCCTTTCTGAATTATTGGGTTGTCGGAAAGGTCCTGACGCATTTTTGCAACAAAAAACAGAAAAAATACATCATGACTTTTCCGACAACCCAATATGATAATGCCAGGAGATTTTTGAGGTGAGAAAAAGGAATTTATTTGCTAAAAATAATAATAGTTTTAGTAAGGGACTGGCAATACCGCTATGATACATGAGCACTGTTTTCATCTCCACATTAAGGTAAAAACAGTGGACAGGGATGGCACCTACAACAGACACAGCTGACTCACAATACTAAAATCTATTTCCTTGATTCTGAAAAATCATTTCTAGAGCTTTTACCACTTTAAGCTCCTTAAGATTTATTCATTTAAGTCTCCCAGGCTTTCTTTTTTAAATAAGCATGTTCAATGGCAATCTTTACCAATGACAGTAGTATATATTTTCAGAGCTGTACAATTTTCACCACAATCTAATTCTGCCTTTGTGTCTGATGAGTGGGGGACACATGTCATACACTTGTGTTGTGCTGTTAGACATTGATTTTCTTTAGCGAACTGAAGCGTAAGTTCAGCCTCTCCTTACCTTGAATATGAAGTAGCGGACTGCTGCACTATCATTGTTCCTGCCTAAGGGAGGGAGTCCTACCTTCTCCTATGTTACTTATTTTTGTTTGGTTAGAATTTGCACAACCAGTTTAAAAAAAAGAAATTAGACAACCAGGCTTGTTAAAATTGTATAGACAATAGAATGATATGAGGACTATATTGTATTAACTTGTTTTTTAAATAACAGTGTTATTTGAGATACTGTAATTCAGAGTTGTGCAACCCATCACCACAATCAATTTTAGAATATTTTCATCACCCCCAAAAGAAACCAGCACCCATTAGCAATCACTCTATTTCCCTCCAGCCCTGTGCAGCCAGCCCTATTGCATTAAGTTTTATTGCATTAACATTTTTGTTGTTGTTTCTTAAGGACATTTTGCTACTTATTTTTCCTGCTAAGTGGTGCAGTTCCAGATGGGTGAAGTATTAACCAAAAAATTAGCCAGCCTTATTCAGAACTCAGCATACTGATTTTGGTGATATATTTCCTCTATTACACCAATAAAATATTTGTGTTTGAGCACTTTTGAGGGAAAACTAGACTTTGCTTATCTGTGGCTTTCTCTTAAAGTTGCAGAATAAATGAAAGTCTTTGTAAAGTGTTTTTCAATGTGATAATTATCTTCTAACTTGCGGTAAGTCTGATTACAGTCATTTCATGTGTATGTCATTTAATGTAGGATTAGTAGAGCAATTAGTGATTCCCAAGTATTTATTGCATACTTACATGCTGAGAATGTTAAGTAAAGAATATCATAGGTTCTCCTGTCAAGTAGCTCACATTCTGTCACAGAGTTAAGTGCTAAATGATACATTACTGAGCATAAGTACAAGCTAGAGAAAGAAGAAATCATTATGGACTGGAGTGATTGGAAGGAGGGCTCAAGGAGGAGCTGGACTTGACCACATGAAGAGGATTTGCAAAAGCAAAGGTGCCTGAAGACATTCCAGATAAGAACAAGTATAAAAGACATAGAAACAAACGTGTGAATTAAGAAAAATTGCGTTTCAAGTCTATTTGAACTTTCAGCTAGAGGAAAAGAGCCGTAACAATTCAATTCTTGCTGCTGAATTTTTATATTTTAGGAATATTTCTGAACAGTAAGCTTGAAATTATTCACATGCATAAAAGTGTCCAAACTGAACCTTTTAAAACTTGAGGATATTAAATTAGGATTTAATTTCTTGAAATAATCTACTTAAAACATGTTTTTCAGCCGCCTGTCTTGGTTAGATGGCTCTGGATTAGGATTCTCACTGGAATACCCCACCATTAGTTTGCATGCAGTGTCCAGGGACCTAAATGCATACCCACGAGAGCATTTGTATGTCATGGTGAATGCCAAATTTGAAGGTATGTATGATAATTTAATCTTGAGCTGCCTTTGGTAACATATTATATTTTAAAAAGCAATCTTTGATCATAATGTAATAGTCAAGCTATTGACTTATTTTGGATAATAGTTTATTAAGCAAAATTTCAGCACAGTAAAATAATTTGGAAACTGCCTTTTGTTTTCTCTATATTTACACTTAGAATTATTCAGTTATTATGGATTTATATTTCTGATTTTTTTTCTCTCTGAGTTTGTCTATTTTCTTTCTCTTTGTAAAGGCATTTATATTTGGCACCCTTGAAGCTTGGATCAGTATACTTTGTGCTTCCAAGAGTTTAGGATAGAAACTGTTTTGTTTTGTTCTGTTCTTACTGGGAGATGATGTTGCCCTCCCCCTACATTTGGCAATGACATTTTGATTGTCCTGACTGGAGGGGGGAGGAGCACTACTGGCATCTAGTGGGTAGAGGCCAGGGATGCTACTAAACATCCTACAATGCGCAGGACAGCCCCTCAAAACAGAATTATCCAGTCCAAATGTCAGTAGTGCCAAAGTTGAGAAACACTGGGGGTACAAGATTCCCAAGTTTTGCTGTTGGAGATAACTATAAAGATTCATAAAAATCCAGTGAAGTTGATGAAAGATGGAGTAAGAAATGTAAAAAAAAGATGGAGTAAGAAATGTAAAAAATCCATTGTTTAGGCTGTTCACTGGGTTGAAAGAATTCCAAATGAGAATTAACAAGTTAGGCACAAAATAAAAACTTGTGTTTGATTTTTGTAAGTGCAACTAAATAAACAGTTGAAAGACTATATTGTGTTAGTTTAGTATGTTCATCTTTTGTATAAATATAGAACTTTGGGGCTGAAAAGACATTTGTTATACCTTTAGTAAACTGTTGCTTTTAAAACAATGGGTTGCTTTTCTTTGGAATAGTTTATAAGAGACAATTCCATAAGTTTGCCCTTTGAGCTATTGCTCCTTCAATTTGGGATTTTTATATGATTTCAGGGAACAAATGACCATTTATATTCAGTGTGACACTAATTACTTAGTAATTTTTAGGGCTTTTGGTAATCCCTGCCTCATTAAGTGGTAATGACTGGTTCAGCTATTTGAAAATATTTTTGTGACAAGATTTCGAACTCTTGCCATTGGAAAGGTTCCAAAATAGGTGACAATCTAGTGAAGTTTGAAAGAGGGTAAGGAAAAGGAAAAGCTGTTGACCTTGGGTTATAGTAAGACTTCCAAATGAGGAGGTATTGGACACAAAGTACACTTTCCATTTAGTAAGTACAATTATGGTTTCATAACCAAGAGTATTATATGTCATATTCAGTTTAAAGCATCATTCATTCACAGAAATGCAAAACTTTAGAGGTACCCTTGTCTGTCAGTTCCAAATGCTGATGTGAAATGCCCATAAATAGTGTAGAGCACTGGCATTGGGCAAAGGTCTATGTCAGAAAAGAAGGTTAGAGAGGTAGGGTTTGAATAAAGCTAGCTAACTAGAACAGCACGCTGAATAAGAAGACTGTCATTAACTTGGTGGGCAAGGCATTTTCATCTCTCTGTGCCTCAGTTTCATCCAGAAAAACTAGGGGATTGTAGTAGTCTTTAGTTCTGAAACCTGGCTGCACATTAGAAACACCTGGGCTCTTGTTAAAAATGCAAATACTGGGAGTCCCAAACTAGGAAATAAGGATTCAGTAGGTTTGCAGTAGGTGTTTTAAATTGAAATAGATGGGATTATGATTAATCCTTTCTTACTAAAATCAGTAGGACTTTTCTGTCTTACTAGAAAGTAGAATCCTCCTGGGTTACATTTATTTCAATAGTTTCTCAGTTCTGTTTATCTGGAACCACTCTTCTCATAAGTTACACGTGGTTGGATCCTATTTTCCCAGCCTTTATTTCATCTTGATTCTCCAAGCTCCAGATTTTTTTTTCTCTTTGCTTTACCTCCATAAATCTCTTTAAATTGGACCATCAGCTTATTGTTGAGGACATTAGATTATTTTTAAAATTACTAAGAATTCACCCCCCATTGTTGAAAATTTAGAAAGGTTTACAGAGATCACTGCTATGATCCAGCATGAGATGGTGAGTGTTAGTCATGACTGTATATTTTTTTCCTAATTGTAAAAATACTGTATTACGTATCTATTTATCACCCTAACGTAGATTCCTGAGGATATAAAAGAAACTCTTAACAGTGGTTATTTCTAGAGAGAGGAACTACAGTGAGAGGGACTTTTTCCTTTGAGTCCATCCAGAGCAGCGGTTCTCAACCTTTCACAGGGGTCGCCTAAGACCATCAGGAAACATATTTTCGATGGTCTTAGGAACCGAGACACCGCTCCTCTATCCGTCTCCAGGCCCACATGCAGATACGCCCACATATGAGTACCCTGCGACCCCTGTGAAAGGGTCATTCGACCCCCAAAGGGGTCGCGACCCACAGGTTGAGAACCACTGATCTAGAGTCTTTCAATTACTTTTATATGAGTATGTATTATTTTTATAATTTAAACAGTGATGTTCATTCAGTTATAAAATAATAATTACAGTATGATACCAATTTGTTTTTTAAAATGCATTGAAAAAGTTTGGTATTACCATAATATATTCAACTATTTAGAATTATCCAATATTTTATATTATTTTACTTGTTTACAGAAGACATATATTTAGCAATGTAATAACAGAAACAGGACAGGGAAAGTCCTATTAAATCTGTTATTTAAAACTATTAATAGTGGCTATTTAAAAGATTTTCCCTTTTTGCTTATCTGTATTTTTTCGTTATTCTACAGTAAGCTTGTATGACTTATAAAAATAAGTTAAAAAAATATTTAGTAAATATCCCCCTATAATTGATTCCTATGAGTAGAATTGCTACATTAAAGATAATAAAACATTTTTAAAGCTCTTAACATACATTGTCAAATTGCTTTCCAGAAAGTTGATATCAGTTTACACTTTGAATAGACTATAAGCATACCTTTCCACCTTATCTTCATCTGCATGGAGAATTAACATTTTTTTATGGTAACTATGCTGAACAAAATTTAGTTTATATATTTTTTAATTAATTAATGTATTTATTTATTTAAAATTAGTTTCAGGTGTACAACACAGTGCAGTAGCTATACTTTTTACCCCTCAAAGTGACTACCCCCCCTTCCCCAATACGCTGCCCTACTCCCCTCCCCGATATCATACATATCTATTACAATAGTTTATATTTTTAAGACTATTAGTTTTGAACATGTTTTAAAGTTTTGGGGGTCTATTTAAGTATTGTGTTGACCTTTTTTTTCATTATGAAATAATTCAAACATTGGAAAGTGCAGAGTAATAAAAAATTTCTGTTATTCAATATCCAGCATAAATTGTAAGTAACATTTTCCATAATTAGTCTATTAAAGAAATAAAAGTATATCAATACTGTTGAAATCCTTTTTGTACCGCTTCCCATTTCATTCCCTACCCTCTGTTTCTGGTGTTAAAAACATTATCCTAAAAATGGCATTTGTCCTTTTGTTTATGCTTTCAGATTTTTACTGAATGGGTATATACCCATAAGCAATATAATGGTTTTGTTTTGTGTTTAAAGTTTTCATGTAAGTGGTATTATATATATTCTGCAACTACCTTTTTTCACTCAATTATACTTTTAATCTATCTATTTTGATACCTATAAATCACATTTGTTCATTTTTAACTGCTGTCTATGTATAAAACATAATATGACTAGGTTACAGTACATCTATTTCTTTTTTTTGGATCAACATTTATTTTTTATACTTTCACTAGTATATATAGTACTTCAATAAACATTTTTGTACAGATTCCTGGTATACATAATATGTACTTAAATGAGGAATTGCTGGGTAGTAGGATCTGCTCATCTCCAGTGTGGTGGTAGCAGTTTCCACTTCCACCAGCAGCATATGTGTGTGCTGTTTATGGAACATTTGTGTTTTTTTCTTGCTTGCAGACTTTGTTAATTTATCTGTTGGGTCAGTTAACTTTTATGGGCCTTGGTTTCTCATCTGTAAATTGTTGGTGATGAATTACCTTAGTGGATTACAAATTGCTGCTGTACCCTTTGTTTCAAGGTGAAACGTAAAAGAAGCAGGTGACTTCGAACTATCAGAGGCCCGACTGTTTGTGTTTCCTCGACCCCATCGTGACGCTGAGGGGGCTTGGAATCTCTAGGGCTCAGTGAAGACAGTGCGACTAGACCAGAGAGACTATCCAGTCTTTTTTAGCTCTAAAATAACCTTATAATTTGAAGTAAAAATTGAATTGCAGTATTTAGATATATCAGTGAGCATCCTTTATAAAATCCTTTTAGGCTTCTTATTTCAAAACAATTCACATGATTAAAAAGTTTCTTTTTTTTCCCTTTCTAGAAGAATCAAAAGAATCTGTTGCTGATGAAGAAGAGGAAGACAGTGACGATGATGTTGAACCTATTGCTGAATTTAGATTTGTGCCCAGTGATAAATCAGCATGTGAGTGCTCTGTGGAATTGATTCTTTTCCCTCCATGTACCAAGTATTCCCCCATTGACTCATATACTCTTACCTTTGCCAGCATCACCTCCATTCCACTGCTTTTTCTTCATTTTATCATCTATAATATTGAGGACCAGATGCCTATTAATAGCAAAGATTGTAAATGTCGTGAGAGTATAGTGGACACTGTGTTACTTGGTGTGTTTTGTGAATGGCAGGATCTGATTATTTTTATTGACTTCATGCTATTGACTGTAAATCTCACCAGTTAGAGGGCAGAGGAATCATGGCAATTCCAAAATGGAAGATGCCAGGATAACTGGTAAGAACCCGTTAGCTGTGAAGGACTTCACTCTGATACCAGCAGCCTGACCAGGACTCCCTGACTCCTTTTCTCAGAAAATCCAACCAGGAGTGAAGAGATCTCAATAATATCTTAAAATGAACTCTCATTATTTTGTGGCTTGTCCATTGCCATCAAGCACTTTTCAAGATTGATTCTCCTTGGAATTTGGCAGGTTTTGTGAATATTGGGACCCTAATGTACCTCTTGTTTACCCCTTAAATTTATTTGCACTATGGTTGTTTAATTAAATTTTTATTGCACATTGGCCAGAAAGAAATGTTAATTACAATTTAATTTCTTTGTTCAGTGGAGGCCATGTTCACTGCAATGTGTGAATGCCAGGCTTTGCATCCCGACCCTGATGATGAAGATTCAGATGATTACGATGGGGAGGAATACGATGTGGAAGCACATGGTCAGTGAAAAGGATTTTTTAAAGTGTTTTGTGTGAGTGCGTCTTATTTTAAGCATTTATTTGTACTAAGGGAATGGGATTATAGTTCTTTGTGTTGCTCTTAAGTACCCATATAGTACGATTATTAATAAAAGTGAGTGGTACAATTCATATCTAAGCCAAATTGGAAAACTATTGGTTTTCCAAGCTTGAGGGTAAAAAATAGAGACTATTGAGGTGGGGGAAATGGGTAGAGATAATGGAAGGGAAGAAAATGGCATATAGGAAAGTGGGTAGTCAGAAGAGTCTTTTTAAGTTGATGCAGCTGCTCTCAGAGAACAAGTCTCCTCTCTCCATCACCTCTATCATGTACATCTTTATTTAACATAGTCCTTCAAACAGCTCACTGCCACAGTCATTTCTTTTTTCCAGCACCATACTTCCTTTACCTGAGTAGTTCCGCTTGCTTCCCCGGACCAGAATGCAGTCACTAGCCCGGTACAGTCTTGAGGTGCCTGCTGTTCTCTTTTCCTTATCCCCATGGTCTGTACACCAGTCTGGCTATGCCAAGCCCTTTCCTCCATATGTGCCCACTTCCTGGCCTGAAAGAAACTCATTTCTGGCACTCTCCTTCATATCTAAATACATTCTCATCTTCACTGAGATTTTTGGATGCTTCTTATTTTTTAATACTTTTTGTATTTTCCAGAATTTCTGATGTTTTAAAAAGGAACATGTATTTTAATCAGGAAAAAACCTTCAGTACAAATTAATACCAAATTAATTTGCATTCCCCTGTAAAATTCTCACCTTGTGGTAATATAAGACTCTCTGACCTCAGGAACACCCTCTTTTCCTTCTAATCGCTGGACATTTGATTCTTTGGGAATTGTTGCTTACTGTCTCATTATCTCCTCGAATCCCTTCTCGTCCTAGAGGGTAGGGACATTTTTTTTGTATCTCTATGTTCAGCAGATGGCCTAAATATGTAGGTTGAATGAATGTTGAAAAGTATTTTCCTGGTAGCCTTTTTCATTGTACCTTATCTTCAGTAAATGCATTATTGCATATCCATTTTTTTTCTAATTGTTATCTAATAGCCTAAAAGCTTTTTATTTGTTTAGAACAAGGACAGGGGGACATTCCTACATTTTACACCTATGAAGAAGGATTATGCCATTTAACAGCAGAAGGCCAGGCCACATTGGAGAGATTAGAAGGAATGCTTTCTCAGTCTGTGAGCAGCCAGTATAACATGGCTGGAGTCCGGACAGAAGACTCAGTAAGAGATTATGAAGGTGAGTATCCATCACATGGTCACTTAGGCAACAAGGGAAGTTATGGAGAAACATGTAGAGGTTCTTTTGGAAATTCTAACACAGAGCAATCACAAAATTAACTCTATAGTGTAGGAAGCAAATGTAGAATTACATAGAATGGGAATTCTCATGTAAATTTTTTTT